TTTGATATGTATTTTTGTGTCTCTTATATATTAGATTCTAATAAGTTACAGATTCAACATAATGTGATTGTTTTAGTTATTATTTAAGCTTAAAACATTGTTTTTTGAATTTTTTTCTGTTTTGATGTCAGTTGAACGTTTTTGGATATGTAGGTTTTTTCAGATCTGAGGCAGCCATCGGAAGAGTTAGAGAAGAATTTCCTGGAAGTCTTCTGACGTCGTCTTAAGTCTTCTGACGTCGTCTTAAGTCTTCTGACGTAGTCTTAAGTCTTCTTGGAAATCTTCTAACAAATCTTCTCTCATATCAAGTAGAGTCCAAGATTTTCTTTGTGGAGGAATGATCTATAAAGTTTTATTTGTGGTCTGTTTTGTGATTTGTATGTGTGCTCTTTAGTTGTGATTTCTTTTTTTGTAAATTTGAAAAAAAAAAGATTAATAAAAAATATGGTAAATATGTTTATTATCCAAAATTACTTCACATTATTAAAGTAAACAAGATGTAAGATATGTGCTAACAATGTGTTTTCCACTTTTACAAATCAAGGAAATTAAAAACTTCATTGGCCTTCAGATTCAAAACATGATGTTCATTGTGTAGTTCTTCTCATCTTTGGATCTCCCATACTTTGCAAAAATATAAATTTGTAATTATAAACAACTTCTTCTCATTAACTTACAATATTTGTTCATTACTTTAAACTTCTAAGAAGTAAAACCAACAAAGTCTTGTAAGAAGTAAAACCAATAAATTTTATAATTATAAACAAGTAAGATATAATGAATTGGTTAACTCTTTCAACTTCATTTTATGTACACATTATATACTTCTTGAAATTTTTTAACACTTTTTAAAGTTAGAAAACTTATTTCAAATTAATGAACATTCTTAAAAATACAAGTTTACAAAAACTAATGTGGAAGACTTCCTTGGAAGTCTTCTATCATTATTTAGAGAGATTAAAAAACATGAATGTTGGTAACTTCATAATTATCACCAATTAAGTGATGAATTTCATTCAGGACGCCAAATATTGTCTAAAACACCTGAATTAAGAATAAAATCTTAAGAATTTATTTTAAATTTGATGAAAATGAAATTTTATTATAAATTGTCGTAGAAGACTTCCAAGTAAGTCTTCCGTTTAGGTCATTTTTGCAATTGAAAATTTGCAAAGGAAGACTTTCAGAGAAGTCTCCTCTATAGGAGACTTCTCTCGAAGTCTTCATATGTAAACATTTGCTTACTTTTCTAATACAAAAATTCTAGAAAATACCTGAGTAAATCTTCTCGGATAAACAGGTCAGTTTTGCAATTGAACAATTTGTATCAAAAATTTGACTTTCTACGGAAGACTTAACTGGAAATCTTCTCAACCTTTAAATTAAGTCTACTTAATACGCCAGAAGACTTCGCAAGACTTACCTGGAAGTCTTCCGCTATAAGACTTACATGTAAGTCTTCTTTGATTATCTTAGGTTTGACCAAAATCACGGAATAAAAATCTGGAAGACTTCTAGGTAATTCTTCCGACAGAAAACTTATCTGGAAGACTTCCAGGTAAGTCCTCGGGCAGAAGACTTACCTGAAAGTCTCCCAATTTAAATTAAATGTTTTAAGTTTAAATTTTCAACTGCAAAAGTAACCTACGCAGACTTCTAACGATATCGATTAGACTTAATTTAAAGGTTGAGAAGACTTCCAGGTAAGTATTCCAAAGTCTTCCAGCGGAAGACTTAAGACTTACCTAGAATTCTTCTGTAGAAAGTCAAATTTCTGACACAGAATGGTCAATTGCAAAACTAACATGTTTATCTGAGAAGACCTACATGTACGTCTTCTCAATTTTTTTTGCCAACAAAGAAAATTGGAAAACTTCCACGACAGTCTTCTCCAAAAAAAACACACGGAAAGTCAATTGCAAAACAAACATATTCTTTAACCAGAAGACTTACAAAGACTTATGAGTAAGTCTTCTAGAGAACAAATCTGGGGAAAAAATTCAATTCATACCTTCAATCCATGAGAGAACTTACTTAGTTCTCCAAGCACACACAATTTCACCAGAACATCTACTCAATTATTCATGAGTTTGGATGGCTATATGACACTCAAAAACTTTAGAATCAAAAAGCTTAGATTTTTTTGGATGAATATAGCTAGAAATTGAGAGAGGTGTAGTTTTTGGGCATAAGTTATGAGAATGAATGAATAAATTTCGTTTTTAATGCATTAAGAGCTTTATTTTGATTGTTTATGGTTGTTGGGTGAATTGATGGTAGTGGCATTTCGTGTGATTAATTGATGAAGATGAGGATGAGAGAATAAAACATTTATTTTAAAAGAAAATTAAATAAAAATAAGAGTATTTTTGTAAATAATCAAAACTTCTATGGTGGATTCAATAAATAAAATGTTCAAAAAAAAGTTTAGTTTTGTTTTTGATTTGAAGTTTTGAGTTACTTTTGCATCAAGCCCAAAATTATATTGATGAACTTATATTTCTTCTTTTTAGACAAATGAACTTATATGTTGCAAATGGATGGCTCCATTTATTTTCTTGTAGTACACCCGTGTGAACATATTGATCAAAATGGGCTCCACCCAGGATATTATTTATTTACATAACACTTGTCGTTTTTGCGAGACTACAATATAATCATGTGTATTTATTTTCTTGTAGTACACCCGCGAACATATTGATCAAAATGGGCTCCACCTAGGATATTATTTATTTACATAACATTTGTCGTTTTTGCGAGACTACAATATAATCATGTGAATTTATTCTTGGTTTAATAAGGACATATATATATATAAATATAAATATCATTTAAAAATGAAACGTTGAGATTTACAAGATGTGATCAACAACTTCTAATATTTTTAATTTGGTTTCACGGAAAAGAAAAAACAGAAAGCAAAACCAATCGAACTAGAATCGTGTTGTCTGGGAGCAAACATGACAACAAATAACGATACAATCTTAAAAAGTCCATAAAGAGATCGAACCTAGGTAGATAAGAGATCAAAGACAAGAGAACCTGTTTCGCAAAAAAAAAAAGTTCAAAGACAAGAGAACGAGGAATACAACACTAGCAAGAAGTTTTTCATCTCATTTTTTGGCGTAAATGTTAAGATTTTTTTTCCTTCTCATCTACTTGCTTGAACAAAATGCCATTCCTCGGATAGCAGAAACCATCACCACCTCCCAGGTTTTACGGCCTCCTCTAGGAGCAAAGTGGAACCCAAAGCTTCATGAAAACGAAGAACCTACATGTGAAACCTGCAATTCACACTACAAAAGAATAAGCATGTTATGACAAAACTTTGAGACTAAATTTTTTTTTTTTTGTGAAACTAAGACTAAATTATTCGTAACAAATTTGTGAATATTAAAAATGATCATGTGACTAATTATTATGTCACAAGTTAAGTAGCTGACAAAAGTGTGACGAAAATAAATGACGTAAATGTTAATAAATTTTTTGTCGTAGCTGTAACAAATTTGAGACGGAATGTTAGATCTTCAGTTTGTAACTATAGAGAGAGTAAAATGTTAGTGGCTAATTAGTATGAACCGATTACAAAATAAATAATAACCGTATATGGACAATTATTTTCCAAGAAAAATCACTTTGTATTCAGGGTTTTTTATACAAAAATGATTCAAAACTCTTAGTCAAAACAAAAAGAACTTCATTAAAATTTTCATTTATTCTATTCACTCTAGAAATTTAAATTATTTACGAAAATATCATTATTATTTTTTTAAATATTGTTTTACTCAATTATACTTATCTTTTTCTTTTATTTACCAGATTACTATTAACATCAATACACCAACCACTATGATTAACGAATTTTAAACTCTTATTTCACCTAAAATTAATATCTACATCTCCATATCTTCATTTCTTATGTACATAAATCATTTCTCTTTTCACTTTTTCTCTCATTTAATCCCAAAACCAAAATTGTTTATTTCAACATTTATAAGTTTATTAGAATCATTCAAGTTTGTTATTTTGGTCAAGAACGAATGGGTAAGTTTTATTAAAAAGCTATGTGTATTTGGAAAAGTTGAACATGAATCTCACCAAATTTAAGAATAAGATTTGAATATTTGAATATCTGAATATTTTTTTGCAAAGAAAACTTCTAAAAAAATCTTCTGGTCAATGTGTAGATTATTTTGCAATTGTCTATTTTGTGTGTTTTCATAGAAAAATTTTCTAGAAATCTTTTAACTTTTATTTATAACAAAAAAAAAAAATCAATAGCATATTAATTTACAATTGACTGAAGTGAAACAAGTTGACTTCTCCAAAGAATACTTCTACCAGAACATTTCTTAAGAAGTCTCTTACAGTCACATGAAGTCCCCAAAGTCTAGAAGAAATTTGTGTACGTTAGTTTTGTAATTGACAATAAATAATAAAACATTTATATTAATAACTAGAAAACTTACTGAAAAATCTTCTACCAGAAGATTTCTTGAGAAGTATTTTTAATTTTAATTTGCAACTCAAATTAAAAAAAAAAAAACTGATGTGTTATTTCCAACCATGATCCGTACTTATACATTTACTAGAATATGATACAAATTAAAACTGAGATCTGAAAACCCATTTTGAACCCTAACAAGTACATGAATGCCTAGGCATAATGAGAATTAACGTCAAAGTGACAAATATAAAATTGATTTCTAAGATAATATTGTAAAATACTTTATTTATTTGAATATACTGTTAATTTTTTTAAATACTTTAAGGCTACACTGATCTCACATTCCACATAGCGGTCATAATTGATTCTCAACAAGTAACAACTCCTTTCTTACTAGGTTCCATTTTTCTCTATTTAAAATTATCATCATATGAGGAAACAAAAACAAATTACTTATGATACCTATCATCAAATACTTTGACCAAAGAAAAAAAACTATCATCAAGTACCACCACCCTATTTAAACCACCCTGCAGTCATCTCTATTCCCTCAGGAATAACAAATCAAAAACCTAAATTCAGTTTTGATAAAAAAAAAAGAAAACCTAAATTCAGTATTCAAATGGGGAGTATCGGAGGAGAAGTATACACTATGTTATGCGGCGGAGAGATCAAGAAAAACACCATGGTGGTTACCGCTGATCCTCTCAACTGGGGAGCTGCAGCAGAGCAAATGAAAGGGAGCCATTTGGATGAAGTGAAGAGAATGGTTAATGACTTTAGGAAGCCTGTGGTGAATCTCGAAGGAGAGACTCTTACCATTGGACAAGTGGCAGCAGTCTCGACCTTTGGAAATGGTGTGAAGGTGGAGTTGTCAGAGACGGCTAGAGCCGGTGTGAAAGCTAGTACTGATTGGGTGATGGAGAGTATGGTCAAAGGCGCTGATAGTTATGATGCTGCTTCTCGGAGAACCAAAGACGTTGTCGCACTTCAGAATGAACTTATAAGGTATTGTTTCGTATAATCACATTTACTTGTTTCTCTGATTTGAAATGTGTAAATTTAAAAGGGTTGGCATTTTGGTAGCTACGTGGTGGCTAATAACTGGATGCTGTAATAATGAATAATCTACATGGGCAAATGATTTATATAGCCCACAAAGTAACTATGACAAACTCGCATAAGAGAATTGTTGCCAAAATAACATTAATTAGAAAATAAAATGACTAACTTATTCTAAACCAAAATCTCATAATTTCATCTCATGATAAATTCTTGATCCTAATCATTAAATGAGTTAACTCCTCTCACGCTCCTATATGTCAATCTCTAATCGACACATTTCTTCTTTTAATTTTATATGTCAAACGAAAAATTTTAAAATTAAATTGAAAATGTGAATATTTTCTATTTGATTTATAGAATTTGCTAAAAACTATTTCAAAAATTCAAAAACTTTTTTTTCTATATTTTTGCAAAATCATCAAAATATGATAAAAATGATTTTAAAATATATTTTTTCTGAATTTGAAAGGTATAGAACTTAAATATTGGCCTATGGATTTACTAATCATAAGAGGGAGTTAGGGTCTCATTTGGAACAGCGGGAGGATTTGATTTGGGAGTTTGGATTTTGATCAAAAACAGAATTATGAAATATGGGCATAACAAATCAAGTGAGTACATAGAAGATTAGCTTTGAAAAATAGGGGAATGAGAAAAGTTGAATCTCATTAAATTCAAATCCAAATATAAAAATCTGTTTAACCATTAATTAATATTCTTGATTTTTTTTTCACTTTTTTGCTATTTTTGGAACAAAAAAGTGCTATTTCAAAATATTACTTTATATATATTATTATATATTATATAAAGGTAAATCTTCTAACTAGCCTATTATTATTTTTTATTATCCAAATAATATCTACAGATCAAATTGACCAAATTATTTATCAAATTGGTAAATGAAAATTATCTATAATTTTATTTTAATTATATCTATATAAATAAACAAATATACAAATGAAAATAATAAAATATTTTCAAAAAAAATCAAAATTTTTCTTTTGAATTTTTTAGATTTTTTTTTTAAAATATATATTTTTCATATTTCGTGAAAAATATATTTCTTGAATTTTGTCGTTTAATAAATTTTTATTTATTTAATATATTATCCGTTAAATGAAATATATTTTGTCACTATGACATTTGTGAACTAGTTTGGAAAAAAACGTAAGCAAAAAAAAAAGAAATTTAAATTATATATACAAAGAAAACCTCATAATTAACAAATCGATTACCTAAATCATAACTTATCTATATAATTTTTTTATTTACTCATAACTTATTATCTATTTAATTTGAATGCTTGTGTTCGTTTACAGATTCATGAACGCTGGAATATTCGGGAACAAGACCGAAACATGCCACACACTACCACACTCCACCACAAGAGCAGCCATGCTTGTACGTATCAACACTCTCCTCCGAGGATACTCCGGCGTCCGTTTCGAGATCCTCGAAGCCATCACCTCTTTCCTCAACACAAACATCACTCCATCTCTCCCTCTCCGCGGCTCACTCACCGCCTCCGGAGACCTCATCCCTCTCTCCTACGTCGCTGGACTCCTCACCGGCCGTCCCAACTCCAAAGCCACTGGTCCTAATGGCGAATCCTTAAACGCAGAAGAAGCCTTCAAAATGGCGGGAATCACCTCAGGCTTCTTCGATTTTCAACCTAAGGAAGGTCTCGCGCTCGTCAATAGCACGGCGGTTGGATCCGGCCTGGCGTCGGTGGTGCTATTCGAAGCGAACGTTCTCTCCGTCTTAGCTGAGATTCTTTCCGCGGTTTTTGCGGAGGTAATGAGCGGGAAACCGGAGTTCACCGATCATTTAACTCATAGACTCAAACATCACCCCGGCCAGATCGAGGCCGCGGCGATCATGGAGCATATCCTGGACGGAAGCTCGTACATGAAGTTAGCTAAGAGACACCATGAGATGGATCCGTTACAGAAACCGAAACAAGACCGTTACGCACTCCGTACATCACCTCAATGGCTAGGTCCTCAGATAGAAGTGATCCGTTACTCAACAAAATCGATCGAGCGTGAGATTAACTCTGTTAACAACAATCCGTTGATCGACGTTGCGAGAAACAAAGCAGTTCATGGTGGAAACTTCCAGGGGACACCGATTGGTGTCTCCATGGACAATACTCGCCTCGCGATCGCATCCATCGGGAAGCTCATGTTCGCTCAGCTCTCTGAGCTTGTCAACGATTTCTACAACAACGGCTTACCTTCGAACCTAACTGCTTCTAGGAACCCGAGTTTGGATTATGGATTCAAAGGAGCAGAGATCGCGATGGCTTCCTACTGTTCGGAGCTTCAGTACTTGGCTAATCCAGTGACAAGCCATGTTCAGTCCGCGGAGCAACACAACCAAGATGTTAACTCTCTTGGTCTGATCTCATCTCGTAAGACTTCGGAAGCTGTTGACATTCTCAAACTCATGTCCGCAACTTTCCTTGTCGCCATTTGCCAAGCTGTTGATCTGAGACACTTGGAGGAGAATCTGAAACAAACTGTTAAGAACACAGTCTCTCAAGTCTCTAAGAAAGTTCTAACTAATGGAGTCAACGGTGAGCTTCAGGTATCTCGCTTATGCGAGGAAGATTTACTCAAAGTTGTAGACCGTGAACAAGTCTACACATACGCTGATGATCCATGCAGCGCCACCTACCCGTTAATCCAGAAGCTAAGACAAGTTATTGTTGACCATGCTTTGATCAACGGCAAGAGGGAGAAGAACGTAGTGAATTTCATCTTCCAAAAGATTGGAGCTTTCGAGGAAGAGCTCAAGGCGGTGCTTCCAAAAGCAGTGGAGGCAACTAGAGCGGCGTATGATGACGGAAGAGCTCATATCCCAAACCGGATAAAGGAGTGTAGGTCATATCCTTTGTATAGATTCGTGAGGGAAGAGCTTGGAACAAAGCTTCTGACTGGAGAGAGAGTGACGTCGCCAGGAGAAGAGTTTGATAAGGTTTTCACTGCGATTTGTGAAGGGAAGATCATTGATCCGATGATGGAATGCCTTAACGAGTGGAACGGAGCTCCCATTCCAATATTTTAAATATTGTCTATCACAACATCAACTAAGTGTGGCATATATTATCCATAATAATCAACACCAACTATACTATATGTGGTGTGTAGTGTAAGATATTTCTTGTGTTGTGTGTAATGTAAAATATCAAATATCTAAGGAATATTTCTTAGTTCTTGTAATATAAATAAGGAGATTTGTAATTCAAAGCTTAGTTACTACTCTTTTGCCGAGGATAAATCGACAAACGCTTGACGCTCAGTAGTATAATCTCTTTGTCACATTTGTAAAGGTTCAATCTCACCTCTAAGATTCGTGAGCATTTCACCACAACGAGTGATGATTTATAGCATACTAGGTGACTGGCCCGCACCCTGTGCGGGTATATAATATCTAAAAAAATAAAATTACAGTGTTTAGATTTAGAAATTGTGAGAGAGAAAAATTATTGTGTTTAATGATTTCGGACGATGGAGTGGGTTTCCACAGCCACCGTCGGTCTGGCTTTAGATTGTCCTTGGTTTTATTTCTCGTTTATAGATCTTTGGTAGAGAAGGTTTGGTGTATCTCTTGTTTCGGTTTCAACATGGTGATGTTTTTATTCTGGGAGGCAAAAGCTTATACAGATCCGTCGAAAAGTGTATCTACATTAGGGTTTTCTCAATTTTGGGTTTCGGGCCCATGTCGGTTTTTATTGTAGTGTCCTTTTGTTATGGGTTTTGGTGATCGCGTATTTTGGGCTTTGATCCTTTATTAATCAAATTAAGATGGCAAAAAAAAAATTTAGAAGTTGTGTATCCTACTATATTGTCAATAAGTGAAATTGTGTAGTATATAAGTCTATTATTTAGAAGTTAACTAAAAGTTGTCGGTATATCTCATTTGTCCTTAGCTTTGTTTGTTTTGCAAATATTTTGCCTTGAACCACATGTAACTATCATTATTGATTCTTTAATTAAATTGTATTTCAAAATTTACAGAAATAGATAGTAGGATAATATAGCTTCTTTCAATTATTTAATAGGTGTTAATCAAAAAGTAATTGCAAGAGATATAATGTTATTTTCTTTGAGAAAATAGATAATAATTAAAGCCAATAAAATAAGAAACCAAATCCAAGAAATAACAATAAGTGAACTGGTGTTCAACAAAAAAAAGAATAGATTCTTCTTCCATTTCTCCAGCTTCACTTGCTTTTGAGATTTTTAGAGTGTTTTTTGTTGACAGAGAACTGATCCACAACAGCATTGTCTCGCGCTCTTATTGACTCTTTTTTTAGACAAAATAGTTGGTAAAAACCACCAGAACACTCAGATATTTCCTTTAAAATTGCAACAATAAAACCTTTTGAAGAGAAAAGAGCTTTGAAATGAGATCTCTTGCCAATGTGGATATAAACATTCTAATATTAAACAATGTGAAATCGGTTTAGGAGGCAATGCTGCAAACTCTTATCTTAGCATTCCAGAAGTTTTGTAGAGAATCTCACCACATATGAAAAAAGTCAAGCACATTGCGATTGTTCTCTAGGGTGCTCATCCTCAACATCATTGCCTCACTCTTATTGGCTTTTCTGTTAGACAAAGGAGTTGTTGAAGAATCCCCCAAAACCCTCAGATATTTACTCTGAAGACTGCAACATTAAAGCCTTTTGAAGAGAAAAGATATTTGAAATGAAATCTTTTGACAACGTGGTTGTAAACATTTTAATATTTTTCTAATAATAAGAATAGTAACGGTTCAAGAGGCAAAGTTAAAAATGATTTCATTTCTTACTTCTTTATCAGCAAATCCCATTTCAATAGTGTCTCCGGTCTCTTTTGCTATAATTCTTTCATAGACGAATAATCCTAGCTTCAGATATACCATGTACTGTTTGAACCATTGCCATTTTTTTTTTTTGAATTATCAACATAGCTTTAATGTTTGTAGTGTAAGACCCTGCCAACTTTATATATTCTCCAACTTCCACGTTTGAGAGTTATTACCATAATATATTTATATGCCTTATACTAAACTTCCAAAGATATGTACATTAAAATAGCGAAGGAGTTTGTGGAAATATATTACTAAATTAATATAATGTGGTTCGCAATAATTGTATATATGAACTATCACAAGTAATTTAGAACAAAAATAATGTTAAAATTTAAGGAATTAACTAATAACGAATGTTTAGAAAAATTAAATACAAATAAAATCACATTTGTATTCGAACATTTAATGTATAGTAGTAATATTTACGAATTAAAGTGAAAAAGTAAAAATGAATATCACCTAGATTAAAACTAATCATGAAACAATTTAGAGAAAAATATTATAGCTATATAGCTATAGTTAGGTTTACAATAATTGCTAAGTGAACTATCGCAAGCAATTTAGCACAATAAGGACTAATAACAATTCATGAATTAATTAATAATGAACATGTTGAAAAATGTACATTTAATGCAATACCATTTATATAGACTTTTATACTATATAGTAGCAATTACGAATTAATGACCAAGTAATAAGGAATCTTACTTAGATTTGCATATATTTTTGTTATACGAAAATTATAGTTTGATATTGGTTAATTAAATGTACACTTAATTAATATTTCCTAAGAAAATCATATCATATAGTTTGACTTTGGTAGTTATACAGATTTTTCAACTGTATTTAAAATTAATTAAAATTAATTAATTACAATTCCAAAGCTTATTATAATAATTTAAAACATCTGATAAGGTAATATAAATAATTTATAAATTTATCTATAATTTTATAAATGATTTATAAAGCATGCATGAAATTTATTAAACATTAATAGTTATTATGATACTTTATATACAAATATAAGGCTTTCTATACGAATATAAAATCATTATATCAATTCAAATAAAAAATTTTGTTTATTATTTTATGTAATTTATAAATATATAAAAAATTTGATCACATTATTACTCTTTCATAGTTTCAACAATTAGTTACCATAAATAATTATCTCTTAAATTAAATAAATTATTTGGAAAGTTGTAATTGAGTTATCCTTAAGATATAATTATAATAAATGAAATTAAAAATTATCGGCCAATCAAATTATACAATTTGAAGAGTCCATTCATGCACGTAATAAAAAATCACTTATGTTATTTCTCAATCAATATATAGTAGGTTTTATATTTTTATAAATAATTAATAACATTTTATAACTTATTTTAAAATTCAGATAAATTTATTCTTTAAACAACGCTAAATAATTTAAAAATAATATTAATAAAGATGCTTGATTTTTGTAATATTTAAAATAGTTATTATATAATTATATTCGAAAACAATTCATCAAGTAGAGTATAAAACTATTATAATTATCTTATATAAAATTTCGCTCATTATATTTTATACTTTATAAATATTAAAAGTAATAAATAAAACATTATTAATCTTTCTATAATTGCGAGAATTATTTTCCATAAATTGTTATTTGTAATACTTTTTAGATTATATGGCAAGGGATGTTAAATGATTTTAGACTTACCTTAAATTTTAGATCTAAATTAAATAAATAAAAATTAAAAACAGTCGACCAATCAAATTATAACAATTTCTTGAAACTTCACCTATGAACGACACGTCACCAGAAATCACTAAAGTGACTTCTCTTTTAATATATATGAGGATTTGAAGAGTCCATTCATGCACGTAATAAAAAATCACTTATGTTATTTCTCAATCAATATATTGTAGGTTTTATATTTTTATAAATAATTTATAACATTTTATAACTTATTTTAAAATTCAAATAAATTTATTCTTTAAACAACGCTAAATAACTTTAAAATAATATTAATAAAGATGCTTGATTTTGTAATATTTAAAATAGTTATTATATAATTATATACAAAAACAATTCATCAAGTAGAGTATAAAACTATTATAATTATCTTATATAAAATTTCGCTCATTATATTTTATACTTTATAAATATTAAAAGTAATAAATAAAACATTATTAATCTTTCTATAATTGCGAGAATTAGTTTCCATAAATTGTTATTTGTAATATTCTTTAGATTATATGGCAAGGGATGTTAAATGATTTTAGACTTACCTTAAATTTTAAGATCTAAATTAAATAAATAAAAATTAAAAACAGTCGACCAATCAAATTAAAACAATTTCTTGAAACTTCACATATGAACGACACGTCACCCGAAATCACTAAAGTGACTTCTCTTTTAATATATAGGAGGATTTGATCACATTATTACTCTTTCATAGTTTCAACAATTAGTTACCATAAATAATTATCTCTTAAATTAAGTAGATTATTTGGAAAGTTGTAATTGAGTTATCCGTAAGATATAATTATAATAAATGAAATTAAAAATTATCGGCCAATCAAATTATAACAATTTGAAGAGTCCATTCATGCACGTAATAAAAAATCACTTATGTTATTTCTCAATCAATATATAGTATGTTTTATATTTTTATAAATAATTTATAACATTTTATAACTTATTTTAAAATTCAGATAAATTTATTCTTTAAACAACGCTAAATAATTTTAAAACAATATTAATAAATATGCTTGATTATTGATATATTTAAAATAGTTATTATATAATTATATTCGAAAACAATTCATCAAGTAGAGTATAAAACTATTATAATTATCTTATATAAAATTTTGCTCATAATATTTTATACTTTATAAATATTAAAAGTAATAAATAAAACATTATTAATCTTTCTATAACTGCGAGAATTAGTTTCCATAAATTGTTATTTGTAATATTCTTTAGATTATATGGCAAGGGATGTTAAATGATTTTAGACTTACCTTAAATTTTTAGATCTAAATTAAATAAATAAAAATTAAAAACAGTTGACCAATCAAATTATAACAATTTCTTGAAACTTCACCTATGAACGACACGTCACCAGAAATCAATAAAGTGACTTCTCTTTTAATTTATAGGAGGATTTGAAGAGTCCATTAATGCACGTAATAAAAAATCACTTATGTTATTTCTCAATCAATATATTGTAGGTTTTATATTTTTATAAATAATTTATAACATTTTATAACTTATTTTAAAATTCAAATAAATTTATTCTTTAAACAACGCTAAATAACTTTAAAATAATATTAATAAAGATGCTTGATTTTTGTAATATTTAAAATAGTTATTATATAATTATATACAAAAACAATTCATCAAGTAGAGTATAAAACTATTATAATTATCTTATATTAAAT